CAAGCTTTTTCTCCTTCACAATATCGGTGATAGTGGTCTCATCAATTTTGAAACAACCATATTCTGGTGGAATTGTTAGAGTGACATGATCAGGAATCGACGTAACCTTGGAATCATGATTCCTGACGAGCGAAAACAGTGTTCTTGAGCAGTAGATGGTGACAAAAGCCAAATGCCATTTTTTGCTGTATTTATTGAGGGAGGCATGCCCACCGTCGAGCAAACGCTCAGCGCAGATCATGTGTGCTTTGTTGAGAATAGCAGACGTAATGAATTTAGATAAGCAAAGAACAAGAATAATGTGTGTATATATATATATATATGATGAAAGAAGAAGGAAAAGAAAATCTTTTTGCGAAACAAGAGCAAGAATCAAAGAACAACAGAGCAAGGAGGTGAGTACAATTTGATGGAAGAATAGGATGTCCACCGCGCTTTTATAGAGCTCTTGGGATGGGGATAGTTATACATCTTCATCATGAAGCTACATGGAAGCTGCTTTCCTGTTTCCTGGGAAAGTTGATGAGAAGGAACTGCCTAGAAATTCCTCTTCGGTGTCCATTGATATTAGAGGTGTTGGATTCTGTCTACACATAGTAATATCTACTGCATATTGCGTTTGACGGCCGTTAGGAGGCTGCATATTGGATGTTTTTCCTGGAATTCGTACTAGGATTTTGTTTGGGGAAACGAGTTAGCTTGTGGGTCCTGAATTAGTTACCGAAGTCAAGAACGATACAGCACTCCATTTATTGGGTTTTTTTTTTTTTTTTTTAACATATTAAAATTATTTACATATTAATTAAAAGAAAATGATGAGACTCATATATGTAACCCTACAAGAGCTGAATAACCCTAATAATTTTGTGAGACTTGAAGATGTAACCTTACAAGAGGTGAATAACCCTAATTTAATATTTATATTACTAAGTCAGAATAGCCATTCCATTTATTGGGCCTTTTAGGAAAGTTTTTTTTATAGTAAATTATATAATAAATAATAATTTTTTTATTATTTGTTTTATTTATTTTAAAATTTAAATTTAAAATATTTAATATAATATTTAAGTTCTTAATTACAAATAAAACATTATTTACTAAACATATCTATTTATTTAATTGGATAGTAATATAGGATTAAATTTTTTATATAATTTTTATGTATCATTAAATAAATGAATACATTTAATATTATAAGTTTTAAATGAATAAAAAATTAATTATTTAAATAATACGTAAAGTTATATAAAAATAATATAAAAATAATCTCTAAATAATTTTTTATTTAATAATATATATAACCATAAATTTACAATTTTACCACACTGACTGGCACTTTTGTTTCTTCAGAATAGGAAAATGAATCTTAGCCATGTGCTTGAAAGAGTGGTTAACCTTGGGGTAGGCAAACATGTTGGCTTGGATGAATTTGAATTTGGTCACTTTAAATTTTGGGTTTGTTGGATTAGATTATTTTAACTTTTAGGTTAAAGAGAGTAAATTCATAAAGAAAATGATTTATGAATAATTTTTTTATATCATTTTTTATATAATTTTATATATTATTTAAATAATTAACTTTTTTTATTTATTTGAAACTTTTAATATTAAATACATTCACTCATTTATTGATATATGAAAGTTATATAAAAATATAATATTAAAAAATTATCTCTACATCACTACCTAAATTCATAACTCATACGTATAAATTTTGAAGGGTTTGTCTAGCCTATATCTTTAGGACACAAGTTAAGCATTATTAATTATAGTATCTATAATTAATGTTACATAAATTTTTATATTAAATTCATATCTTTTTGCATATTTCAAGTATAAATATTATATTTTCTTTTAATTTTACATTTTATATTTTATTTTAATTAAATC